GTGATCATGTGTGTGTGTGTGTGTGTGTGTGTGTGTGTGTGAGAGAGAGAGGGAGAGAGAGAGAGGGAGAGAGAGAGAGGAGAGAGAGATATGCAGGTGGTTTGCTATGCCCAGGCTGGCTTCTCTGCATTTCCAGCCTCCTGCCTACCACAGGGCTGGCACCAAGTGTGTCATTCTGTTGGAGACCCACTGCTTGCCCTGACCTTGCACTTCCCCCTCCAGCTGATGCCCTGCACACTCACAGCCCCCTATTCCTGGAGGGCAGCTCCCAGGGAAGCCCCCCACTTCTGGACGCCTCTGCCTCGCCCCCTCAGACCCCAAGGTTCCAGCGCCCAGGACGGAGGCTGAGTGAGGGCAGCTCCCACAGTGACAGCTCGGAGTCCTCAGACAGCCTGGCGCCTGTGGGTGCCTCCCGCAGTGAGTGAGGTCCTTTTGGGGCCCTGCCTGCATTGGAGGGATAAGGAACTTCCTTGGGTGGTGGTGGCCTCACAGCTGGGATACTGTGGGTGGGGCCTCAGGTGGAGAGGAATTGTGAAGGAAGTCATGGGCAGCATTCCTGTTTTTGGAAACAGAGTGGCTGTTGGTGGTGATCTAACTTCCCACTGAGTCCTTACTGAATCCCTAAACTGAGCTCTGACCTTGGAGAGAACTTTGACCTCTGACCTTGGACAGAGCCCTGGATGAATCAGGGAGGACTATTCCCTTTTTTCTTTTTTCCTTTGGTGTTGGTTATTAAGCCCAGGCTCTTGCACATGCCAGGCAAACTCTGTACCAGCTGAGCCATGTCTCCACCCTCTGAGACTGAGTTGTGATTCTGACTGGAGCCTTGACCTCTGACACAGGCCTGGGACTCTGGGTTAACCTCAGAGTCCCTACTGACCTGTGACTCTGCACAGGGCTCTTATCTCTGACCATGGACCATACCCTGGCCCCTGCAGGCACAGGCCGATTCCAGACCTTGGACAGAACTCCTGGGGAATTACTGTGGAGTGCATGGGGTGATATGCCCATGAGTGTCTCCATGAGCCTGACCCTCCTTCCTGGGATCAGTTTGGAGCTCATTCACATCTTAGAGGAGGGAGGGAAGAGGGGCTGGTGAGTAGTGAGAAGCAGGGAGTCCTCTTTATCCCAGCTCATTCAGGACAGGTGCTGTGGCCCCAAGCTTGTTTGCATGTCCACACTGGGTCTCTGCAGTGGGAGGCCCATACTGCCCCTTGGCCATTCTATCTTCACCTCCCTCTTGGCTCCACAGTCACGGCTAAGTGGTGGGGCACCAAGAGAATCGACTACGCCTTGTACTGCCCTGATGTCCTCACTGCCTTCCCCACTGTGGCCCTGCCCCACCTCTTCCACGCCAGCTACTGGGAGTCCACTGATGTGGTTGCCTTCATTCTGAGACAGGTACTGTGGTCCCTTTTAAGACCCAGCCTGCAGGATCCTTCAGGGGATCCCAGTCTTTTCCTGTGGTTACGTGGGTCAGCTGGCATCTATCTGACAGAACTGGGAAGACGTTGGGGCACTAACGCCAAGGGAAAATGGGAGGCTAAAGAAGGGGTTCCTTCAAGAACACTGGCTTTCTAGACAATTAAGTAGAGCCTGCAGAGGAAGTCATGCCAGTGTGTCAACATGGAGGCTGAAACAATAGTTTGGGCCCTCTGAGTCTCAGTATCCTTGTTTTAAAATAGCAGGTGTGGTTGGAAGGCCAGTGCCCGAGGGTGTCTTGGTGGGTAGATGAATAGGATATAGATGAAGGCAGGTGCAGTTTCACCTGGGTTTGGCAGGTTTGTAAGCAAGGGAGAGCTATCAACTGACCTGTGCTTCAAGAAGGGAGCTTTCGGGTTGCTGTCACGGGGGGGCGGGCAGGAGAAAAGATTTGAGGTCCCTGTGAGGCCAAGATAGTGTAGGAGCCCCACTGAGAGATGATAGCTTGGACTAGGTATTGTGGGCTAGTGACACACTGATTCTGGTGGCAGTTCTCCCTGAGGTCTGAGCGGAGGGAAGGAGCCAGCCCAACAGTTCTGCCTTCCCACTGAGTAACCAGGGGTAGCATTTTGTAGGACTTTTGCAGAGTACTTTGCTGAGCTACACTTCTGAGGGGTGAGATGCCCGGCAGGTGCTGAAGCAGTGAATAGTCGTGCCTGGAGTTTGGGGAAGATGTTAGGACTGGAGATGAGAATGTGGGTGTCATAAGTCATTAGAGCTTGGCTGGCTTTGAAAACCCTTGAGGGTACCAAGGGCGTTATTACAGACAATAGTTCAGAGATGAGTCTTAGAACTCCCTGTGAAGACATGGAGGACCCATCCAAAGGGACAGAAGAGAACATACGACAAGTTGGGGGAAAATCCAGAAAGTAGACAATCAGGATGGAAGTCCCTGGGGCCATAGCCTGAGTGGTGTCAGTGGAATTCTGGGCACAGAAGCTGTTGAGGTGGACAGAGAGGATGCAGGTGAGGAAGTGGAGATGGAGTACAGCGATCTCATGGAGAACAGGGATGCCATGGAAACCAGGAGTCATGAGGGTCTCCAGGGGAGGACAGACATATTTATGTGAGATGAACAGTAATAAGACATTGAGAACGACCTAGCAGAGAGGGTCTAGTCGGTACTGCATCTGGAGAAGGGAAAGCTGTGGAAGCAATGGCCTTGAGAAGGGGTCAGGGCTAGGTCAGGGCTCCAGCTGGCCTAAGGCAAAGGTCACCTGTCATATAGGAGGGAAGGCAGAGAACAAACAGGTACAAGTCAGGTAGTTGTAGGATTCAGGAGCAAAGGTCAGAGGCTCCCAAAACATAGCCACCAAGAAGAAAGTACCCTGGCTCCAGTTGTTCAGACAGGGGGCGAGGGTGACAGGTCCTAGGGCCCCAAGCAGGGTTCAGGTAGAGTAGTGGGGAGGCCAGGAGCAGGGCCTGGCTGGCCATAGCTGGTTGGCGTTGCCTCCTTGGGAGAGGCAGAGGGGTCAAGACCATATGATCACGCCCCTCCTCGCTGTTGGCCAGGTGATGCGCTATGAAAGTGCAAGTATAAAGGAGAGCACAGGTCTGGACCCTGCAGCCCTGAGCCCCACTAACCCCCGTGAGAAGTGGCTGCGCAAGCGGACCCAGGTCAAGTTGCGGGTAAGTGCTTGCTGGGGTTGTGTTTTGGGGGCTGATGACCTTGGGAGTTGGGGTAGCCACATAGCAGATAAGAGCTTTGGTTTTCCTGGCAGAACTCAGTACCTCCTCAAGCTGTGCTGTGTGCCCAAGTCAGGAGCAGGTGTGAGTCATTTCCCAGGGCCTGGAGCCCCAGGAGGATCAGGGCTCTGGGGATGGCAAATTAGGCCAGTTATGCGATGATTGCTTCTTGTCAGGATTCCAAAGATATGGACTTGACCTAGACAAACTTGACTGTGCACAGGACTCTCTGCTTACCTGACCATTAAATATGGCTTGGTGTTATCTTTGCAATAACAGGAAGGTGTGGATCAGGATGAAGATAGAAAGGATTGTGAGCACAGACCAAAGCGGGCTTTTCTGGAAAAGGTTCTCTGGGTATTGAGGGATGAAGAGGAGTTTGGGATGCCTATATCCATTTATTAACTCAACAAATTGTCATCAGTGCCTACTCTTTTGCTGCCCATCTGCTGGGACAATGTGCTGTCCAGACTCAGTGGTTGTTCTGGTGAGCAACTGCAGTCTGCTGAGACATGCCTCCCAGGAACAGTGCTAAAATTCAGAGCGTGATCAGTGCTTCATAAATCAACTTTATTTTCATGTGAACACATTTATTGAGAAATAATTCACCCATCATATAATTCTTCCATTTACACTGTATGATTCAATAGATTTCGTTTATTCACAGTTGTTCGTGACCCCCTTTGCAGCCAGTTTTAGAACATTTTCATCACCTTATAAAGGAAACTTTCTCTGCAGCTTTCTTCCCTTCCTGTCTGCTCTGTCTCCTCCATGAGCAAACAGAAGTCCAGTGTCAGTCTCTGTGGATTCACCTAGTCTCAAAATTTCATTTGAATAATGTCACATATGTGTTCCTTTGTGTCTGGCTTCTTTAACTTAGCATGATTCTGAGCTTCACCCATGTTGTATCATGTGTTTCCTTGATTGGATGCTATTCCAATGCATGAATATCCTGTATTCTTTCACTAGTATTGTGTCATGTATCAGAACTTGTCTCCTTTCCCTGATTGAATGCTATTGCAATGCATGGATCTCCTGTGTTCTCTTCATCCAGTTATCAGTGGGTAGACATTTGGGTCGTTTCTGCCTTGAGGTCATTATGCATAACACTGATCTGCATATGCACCTACACATTTTGTGTAGACGTATGTTTTTTATTTTCCTTGGGGACAGTCATAGAAATAGAATTTTGGGATCAAATGGTAGCTATACTTAATCTCTAGAGGAACCACCTCTCTGTTTTCCATGGTGGCTGTCCCATTTTACCTCCACCAGCAGTGTCTGAAGGTTCTAATTTAGCCTCAGCACCCGTTGTCTGTCTCTTTGACTTTGGCCATCCTAGTGAATGTACCGATCCTCATTGTTGCCCATGCACCCACGTTCCTCTGCAGTGTTCCTGTGGGGGGCCTGGATCCCCCAACTCTAGGGCTGGACTCTCAACCAGTTCCTCTTGTGGACTGGTGTGGATGAATGCTACAGAGGTATATTGGGCTGAATCACGGCCTCAGGAGCTGAGAGGAGGTGGAGAGACCATCTTTGGGGAGCTGATGGGTGGGGGGGGATAGAGTTGAGCCTGATGCTAGAGGATGGGCTCGGGTTGGAGAATGGAGGTCTGGAGATGGCACAAAGAGTGGAGCCCAGTGGGACAAAAGGCCTAGAATGTGGCCTGGAAGGACAAGGGGGTGAATTCAGGAGGGACAGCAGAACAGAGTACAGAGGCTTTTCATCAAGGCTTGGAAAGTCAACATGTTCAGGGTCTGGACTTCACTGGAAGGTGTGGGGACCTTAGCCAGGTAGGAATAGATCTGTGTGTTGTAGAGATGGGGAAATCTGCCAGGGGACTGCTTTTGAATAGGTGCTCCATTTGGAAGTTTCTAGAAGAGTCCAGGTGAGGGGGATGTAGGTGTGACCAGTACTATGAAGGAAGGGTCACAAGATGAGGACTGGGGTCTCAAAGACCAGCTGGGAGTGGTGGGTGGTTAGAATCAATTCAGGACTTAGAACTGCAGAACGAATGGAAGGCAGAAGTGAAGGATGAGCATGCTGAGACAGTAAGGGAAGAAAAGACATCCTGTACAGCATGGCCCCAAGTAGCCTGCATAGGGCTGAGCTGGGGAGGAAGGAGACCTGGTTGGCAGACAACTGATCAGTGCAGGTGCCCTGGCCAGGCTCCCAAGCTTGTCTATATTGGTCTCTCTATTGTGATTTTGAAATTTTCCACCAAAAAAGGACATATGGTAAATGGCTGATGGATACCAGCCGAGACGCAGAGGGAAGAAGCAAAGGTAAAAGGGCAGTTTTCCAGCCTAGGAATATAGACATGCCAGGCCGTGATGACTGGTTGTCACTTCCTGGGGTGTGCTGAGTCAGAAGCAGCGAGTGCACCTCCGTGGATAACACAGGAAGCAGTTTTGGCATCTTACAGTCCCTTTCCCCTCAAGTTCTGTAGGAGCATGTTTCTAGAACCCTAACAGAAGCTCAGAAGAGACCTGACTGAGTCGGACCACACAGCTGCAGCCATCCTTGAACAGCTTTAATGCTAAAGTAAGCCTTATTTGCAAAGGCTGAGCCGGCTGCTTTCTGTCTTTGCAGAATGTCACTGCTAACCACCGAGCCAACGATGTGATTGCTGCTGAAGATGGCCCCCAGGTCCTGGTGGGGCGGTTCATGTATGGCCCCCTTGATATGGTGGCTCTAACCGGAGAGAAGGTACCAAGGGCTGGGCATCCATGTCCTCTTCTGCCCCATGTGACTCATAGTACCACAGGGAAGACGAGAGGAGGGTCCTAGGAGGTCAAGCTACTATGTAGCCCTTGCCCTGCCTAGCAGATTGGCAAGGGATAGAGGGGTACTTGATTCCTTGAGGAGGTGGGGAAGACAGCATGACCACCACATGGAGGGAGAGTGATAGGATATAGAGGCAAGAGTGGGTCCAAGGATCTGCTGTCTTGGCTGTCAAGTTTTCAGTGGATTTGCCCTCTTCACTGGCTATAGGTGGACATCCTGGTGATGACAGAACCATCCTCAGGCCGCTGGGTTCATCTGGACACCGAGCTCACCAACAACAGTGGCAGAATCACATACAGTGTGCCCCGGCCCCGGCGCCTGGGGGTCGGTGTCTACCCTGTAAAGATGGTGGTCAGGTAGGACCAGGATTGCGTGGGGAAATTCTCACAGTGGACTCTCCTACTTCTGTGGCTCTCCTAGCCAGGCTTGGCTGGAGGACAGAGTCCATTCCTGTTTATATGGAGAGAGGAAAATGGAAGAGGCCACCAGCTATGGTACCAGGAGGTGCCAACCCAAATCCTGGCCCTAGAGCTATTGATTCCGACTGCAGGCTGACTCCAGGCTGGTACCTTTCAGGGGTGACCAGACATGTGCAATGAGCTACCTCACGGTGCTGCCCCGAGGCATGGAGTGTGTTGTGTTCAGCATCGATGGGTCCTTTGCGGCCAGCGTATCTATCATGGGAAGCGACCCCAAAGTCCGGCCAGGTGCAGTAGATGTTGTTCGGTGAGTGTTACCTCCACCAAGAAAAGTGCCTGTGGTTCTGGGGGAAATGCATTTCTTTTCCTGGCTTTCTTTGGGACTTCTGTGGGTCTCTGGGCCCTGGAGCTGCAAAGTTCTGTCTTTACTGCCAATAGTAATTCACTGAGGGTCGTTGGGGAGATTGATCCCTTGTGTAAACCTTAGCTCACTCATTTATCCCTTCCTTCTTCTCTCTGTCCTGGACATCCCTCCTCCTTTTCCAGAGGTAAACTCCAGGCCAGGCTCTGGATTGAGCTTGCTGCTAGTGGGAGAAAATTGAGTCGAGTGGGAAAAGATGTCACAGGCATGAGAAACTTTAACTGGGAAGGAACATCAAGGGCTTAAACCCCATGAGGGGACAGGAATGGGATCCTGGGAGTTTGTGGAGGCTGGGTTGAGTTATGGAGATGGCCTGGGAAGAGAAATGCACTAGCTTCTGGGATCTGGAGAGACAGCTGCCCTCTAGCTGCCCTTTGGTGCTGTGTAGAAGAGGCCCTGGACAAGCCAGTGTGAGCGCTGGCTGGTTTATCCCAGAGCAGAAATGAAGGGCTGTGCCTTCTCCCTCAAAGCTCCTGCCTTTCACTATGGCACTGTCACACCTACCCTGTGCTAGTTGCCAGAAGCTGCTTTTTAACAGCAAGGCACAGACCCAGGAGCTCAGCAGGAACTCTCAGCATTCCCAGGGGTGATACCTGACTGTGCATCTTCATAGCTTCCCAGATGGTCAGATTACTGTCTGGCTTTAGAAAGCCCAATCTGTGGTAGCCAGCTGATGGCTAGTGCCACAAAGTGCTTTCATGTGTCTGGACTCTTCTGTATCTTATAACATCTGTGGAAAACTACCTGGGAAGCACCGAAGGTTTCCTGGAAGAGGGGCCCTGACAGATGGAGATGTGGACAGCAGAAATGAAGCCACAGAGGCTGTCTCTAGAGCAGGTGCTGCAACCACGAATACAGGGCTTGTCCAGGGTCAGCAGAGTAGCTCTGATTCCACTAACCAGGGCAGAGCCCAAGAGCAGAGAGGGGGGCCTTGAAAGTTACCTCATAGCACCAGGAAGCCAGGCATGCTTTTAAGCAAAGGAGCAATGGGGTTGGGTTTGTGATCTATGGAAATCACCATGGAAACAACACTGAGGATGATAATGAAGCCAGCTGTATCTGGCATACCATACCCAGGAAGTTTGGCATTAATTCCTTTATCCTTGCGATAACCCCATGGAGTTGTTCTGATGTTTACCCCCACTTTCCAGACAGGGAAACTGAAATGGAATGTGTTTGTGTGTGAAAATGCCTGTGTGTGTGTGTGCGCGTGGTGTTGCACAGACAGATCTGGGTGGGAGGACTAGAGGGAAAGAGATCACTAAGGGCTTTTGTAGTGGCCTGGGGGAGGGATGGGGCCTGAGCTAAGGACCGGGGGCTGAAGGGAGGAGCAAAGCATGTGGCCTGGTAGAGCTGGAACCTTTCTGGCTGGTGGAGGAGGCTGGAGGCTGGCAGTGGGGAAGGGGAGGAAATGAAGCTTCTTTCTCTGGTTCCAGAAGGGCAGGGGAGGGGGAAGGAGTGCTAGGGGAGTGGTGGGGCTGTGGCTCAGTACTTGCTGGCCAGCCAGAGGCAGTACCCAGGACTCATTGGGAATGTGGACTTCGGGACCTTCTTGCCATCCCCTCTAGCTTCTCCAGGAGGGCAGCAGTGGGCAGAGGTTGGCCAGAGGGCTGGGTGGTGGGTGGCCCACAGGGGATGGAGCTGGACCCTGCGATGCCATCTCACCAGGCACTGGCAGGACCTGGGCTACATGATCCTTTACATCACGGGGAGGCCGGATATGCAGAAGCAGCGGGTGGTGTCCTGGCTGTCCCAGCACAACTTCCCACAGGGCATGATCTTCTTCTCGGATGGACTGGTGCATGACCCATTGAGGCAGAAGGCCATCTTCCTCCGCAACCTCATGCAGGAGGTGAGTGGGGAGGAGGGCACACAGGGTGAGTGGGGAGGAGGGCACACAGGATGACTGGGTGGGGCTTCGGCCACACTCCCAAGACTGGGCCTCCCTCCTTGGCTGGGGGAGGGGTTAAACTATGACCCTCTGCCATGCATTCCCACCATCTGCTTGGAGGGAGGGAGCAGAGAAACATGGTTGGCCAAACATACTGGTCTCACTGGGCCTTTTTAACTGCTTGAGGAGGCAGGCATTATCTTCACTGACAGTTCTTTATCCATTATCATCTCCTGACTCCAGGGCCCCAAGGCCTAAACTTGTCTCAGTATCTGGTTGTTCATTCATCAGATATCTTAGTGCAGATTGAGACGTTTCTGGGCTAATTATGTTCCTCACTGCCTGATGCTGGGGCTGCTAGAGATAAACAAAACCAGGCCTGCTTTCTTGAGCCTGTGTTTCTTGCAGTTGCACCTGGGAATCATCGGAAGACAAATTTCCAGACTCACATAGGCATAGGAAACATTGGGAGGAGGCTAGGACATCTTTGTGCTAGTCCTCCCGGGTATTCAGGAGAGAGAGAGAGAGAGAGAGAGAGAGAGAGAGAGAGAGAGAGA